AATGCCTCATCCTGGGAGCAGATGCGGCGGAGGCGAAGGAATTGGGAATAGGGGATAGCATTTTTGCAGGAAGGTGGGTGGGAGGAGGAGTATTCTAGGTAGCTGTGGGAGTCGGTGGGCTTGAAATGAATATTGGTTTCGAGGTGGTTGCCCGATATGGAGACAGAGAGGTCCAGGAAGGGGAGAGAGGTGTTAGAGATGGTCCAGGTAAATTTAAGGAGAAATTGTGTTGTGTGACTTTGGAATTTTTTACTTAAGGAGTCGGAGGCAGGTCACTCAATATTTTAAGGTGAAGGTAAATTAATTCTTGTTAGGCAAGGGAATTGAACGTGAAGACCACGTGAAGCTCACTGAATCTGTTCTGTCATTCAATGAGATCATGGCTGGTCCGATGATCCTCAACTCCATTTTCCTACCTTTTCCCCATAACTGTCACTGATTAAAAACCTGTCTGTCCTCAACCTTGAATGCACTTAACCTCAACATCCTGTTGCGGAAAAGAATTCCGGATTCAGTTCCCTCAGAGAGAAGAAATTCCTCCTTATCTTGGTCTAAAGTGGCTGACCCCTTATTCTGTGATTATGCCCTCTGGTCCTAGACCATAAAGGGAAATAACCTTTCCACATCTACCTTGTCAAGTACCCTAAGAACCTTGTATGCTTCAATAATGTGTCGCTCATTCTTCTAAACCCTCATAAGTACAACCTCTCCTCATAAGAAAATTCGTCCATGCCTTGAATCAGCCTAATGAACCTTCTCTGGACTGCTTCCAATGCCAGAACATCTTTCCTTAGATAAAGGGGTCTAAAACGGTTCACTGTATTTCAGGTGGGGTCTGACTAGTGCCATATTTTTATACTCTATTTCCTTTGAGTATAAAGGCCAAGAGTCCATTTGCCTTCTTTATTTCCTGCTGAATTTGGATGCTAGCTTTTGTGATTCATGTGCAAGGACTCCCAAAGCAACTTTCTGCAGACTTTCCATATTTAAATAATATTCAGTTTGTCTCTTCTTCCTGCCAAAATAAACAGCCTCACATTTTTCCACACTATAATTCATCTGCCAAGTCTTTTCCCCACTTGTTTAACCTGTTTATATCCCTCTGCAGAGTCTGTTTCACTCTCTTGACTGGCCTTCCAGCTTTTCAATGTCATCCTTAAACTTGCCAACAGCACATTCATAAGTCATTAATGTATATAGTCAATAAGTGTGGCCCCAACACTGATTCCTGTGGCACTTAAAAGATCAAACAATGGACTCTAAAAACTGGTACTGCTGGCACTGCTCTGACAAGAACAGTCTGTATGGATCAGCCTGTTTATACAAGAGATCAAAAACCAATGTGCAATAACAACGTTTGCCAATTGAGATGCACTTGCAAAAAAGCCTCTGAGTCCCTACTGGAGGTACTCTGAAAACTTACAGCATTAAATAAATCATATACCTTCAGCCCGCACCTTCTGGAAGGAAGCTACCATATTTTGTACAGAATCAGCAGGGCTTTATTTTATACAAAAATTGCACTGAATCAAAAAAATCTAGACAGCCCTCAAACAAATACAAGTAAAATTGGAAGATTTAGTGGTTAAAGGCATGAAGGGATCTGGAATAAAGACAGGTGAACTGATCAGCCATGTATGGCAGAAGAGATCAGAGGGGGCTGAATGGCCTTCACTTGTTCTAACGTTTCTTATATTTAACACATAACAGTACCACTCTGTTTCTGACAATAAGGTGTGCTTTAGCTTCCTTTCTTCCTGTGATTGACAGCGTCTTAATACCTGGTCACCAGCTAACAGCCTGTCTGACAATTTCAAAGAGCTATCTAACGTGGTCTGGACAAGTAACCATAGTTGGGAGGCAACCTGTGGTTAGTAGTACAGAATTTCTGATTAATCAACCAGCTTCCAGAGAAACGATTGCTCCATTTCACAAGTAAACACAATACTTCAGCAACTTTGAAAAGACAATGCCACTGATCAGAGTACCTCCTCTGTAATATAGGTGTACATCTTGTAGTTTGTCTTCCAAGGGTCCTCTGTGGCATTGACGTAGAACCCAGCCCCTGTACCAAAATCCCAGCTATCGTCCTCACCTTGAATATTACAGCCACCTGGAATGACAATATGCAGTGACTTTCCATATCCCATTTATCACTTACCACAAATTGACAGAAATGTGTAAACCTTTTAAAGTTCACAATCATATGTTTATGTACTTGAGTGCCTTTTATAAAAAAAAAGGCTCAAGAGAAGCAGAACTTTTCAAATTACTTGAGCTTGAATTTTTGGCTGGACAAAGTGGAAATTAACAGAATGAAAGTTTCATACTCACGGGGACTGGTGTCTGGGGCTACGATGATAATGCCGTGTTCAGCTGCTGCTTGCTGACTCCCTGCCTTGGTTATGAAGTTTTGCTCTGTGCATGTTAACCCTATGTGAAAACCAGAAAGGATTCAGTTAAGAACAAGAATTTTAATCTTTGCTTGTGCTTCAAATAGCTTTGTATGTTAAAAGAATGTATCCCAAAACAGCATTCTGAGAAATGTAGGGATCTAGGGCCACAGAGACAAAGATCTTCAAAAGTAGGACAGTAGTTAGAAAAAGACATAAAAGGCAAAGAGAATTCATGTTAAATGCAAATGAAACACTGGATAGACCACAGTAGAGGACTATATATAGTTGTAAGCAAGCTATTATAACATTAAATCAGGCACAGAGTGTGGCAACATCTGTTAGAATGATACCGGGAATGATATTTTGTGAAGTTGCCATTAGTCCCAGAGGACGACAGGGCTGCTCTCAGAGTAGTAGTGTGTTTAACCGGAGGGTCACCATGCCACAGGTGAAGGAGAGGTTGAGAGAGAGCGTCATTCATGGTAACCTCAATCAATGTGGGAACTGAACCCACGTTGTTGGTATCGCTCTGCATTACAAACCAGCCATCCGGCCAACTGAGCTAACCAACCCCCAATTTTAAGTAGGTTTCCCTTATTTCATGCCAAAGCATTTCAACTCAAATTTCAGAAAATCAACAGAGAGTCCTGGGAGTATCTCACTGTCAACAGTTATTATCCTTACTGCCTTGAGGGAATTGTCAATATGCATTGAATGCTCAGATATCTTGTGGACCTTTATCCACCAGAGCATGGATTCAGGCTCTCCAAACCTTAGTATCTTGAAGTGACATTTTCCCCATCATTGTAAATTGGATCCTAAGATGGACATAGGGTCAGGGATGGGGGAAAGCAAGTTAATTCTACACGTCAAGGAATTTCAAGTTGGCCATTAGAAAAGAAACAACCATTTTTACGGAGTTTCTTACTGATCTGGAGAGGGGGGGCGTTTCTTTACTGCTTGGTTTAAAAGGAAGCTAGTTTATGCACTCTGGACTATAGCATAGCTGCTGATATTAAAACAATCCTGCCCAAAGTTAATCGCTTTCCTCAAATTTCCTCTTTCTATTAAGTTTTTCGAGAATGGCACACTTTCCCTTCATTTGTCCATAGATCTGATGCATTACTGAATGCAGCCAGGGTTTATCGTGATTCACAATGAACACTTTGTCAAATGGAAATGAACATGACAAAGTACAGAGATTCGTTTAGAGACTGCATCAAAAGAAAATGTCTGTGCTAAGGTTTACACTGTGCCAAAATGATTTTTGACCAATATTTCCATAGTATCAGAAATATTGTAAAATTAGAAAGCAAGATTCCTGCAAAAGTTTAAGCACTCTCATGACAGAAGATACAATGTTAAACATTTAAAAATATAAAGATCAGAGTTAATGAGTCTCCAAGATGCACACTGTATAGCACATCATATTATACAAATGCCCATTTCAGTCACTGCATTTGATAAATTTGCCAGCTGTTTGCAAGGATATTAACATTATGACTAAATCTCCCTGAAGTTTATAAGTCATTTAACAGCAGATCCATAATTTATACATTAAGAACAGAGGATACTGAAAATACTCAGGTCAGGTAGCACCCATGAATTATGCCCTAACTCATGAACTCAAACAACAATTTGGCAACCTCTGTGATGCAGTTTTCCCTTTTCTCCAGGAGTACTTTAAGTTTAAGTCAATTCAAGAGAATATATTACTGAGCAGTAGTGGTAGTCTCAGCAAGGAAGTAACCAGCCGGACTGATGTAGTGAGTCAAACAGATCATGTTTCTGAAAAAAAAACTTTTTTTTGCTGAAGCTTTCCAACTTTCTCTCAGCAGACACAAGAATGTCAAAGTTTGAAGATTCAGAACATTGTACAACATGGGAGAAAAGTGTGCTAATTCTTTGGCAGTTAACTGTGATTGGCTGAGGCATTGTCATGGGGAATCTATAGGTTTCCCAAGCTCCCCAGTAATACAAAAAAGGTGCAAGGCTTGAACGTATTCCTTTTGCTTGCAAGGAAAGGACTCCTGCATATAAACGTATGTTGCTTTTAGCAAGTATAAATGAGCCATATCACATGTTCAACTTTAAATTATTTGTTACAGTAGCTATTAGTGACCTCAGGATGGTTCAGCAATTGCTGTCCAAAACAGAAATCATATCTAAAAGGAGGTGCAAAAACAAAGTTGCTGGAAAAGCTCAGCAGGTCTGGCAGCATCTGTGAAGGAAAAAAATAGAGTTAACGGTTCTGAGGAAGGATCACTGGACCCGCAACGTTAACTCTGCTTTTTTAATCATAAAATGATTAAAGTTCAAAAGATGTTCACCCACATCAAAACAGATGGCACCTGGCAGCTTTCATGCCAAGGCGCTCGTGGAACATTTTATTTTCTGCTGGGAAAATCGGTTGACAGATTTAAAGTACTTTTCTCAATCCTACAGACGTTTGGACAACAGGAATGTGAGTAACTCATCGTTCAATGCAAATGGTAAAATCAATATTCCATGGCCAAATGCGACAGTTGCAAATATCTCAAATTAGGCACAGAGCTTATAAAGCTGTAAACTCACATGGCTGATCTGGCTCTCTGTTTACCTGGACACCCACAGGGATAACACCCTTTCCACATCCCATTTCATGTCCCTACTTATTTAGCTCTCTGGCAGGTAATAAGCTAAGCCCTGTCAATCTCTGCTCAGTCATATCATACCCTTGACACAAAGTCTGTAACATGTGATGTGTTCTGCCACAGGGAATCAATTCAATAAAGCTTTATTTTTTAAGGTAAGCAAAAATAAAATACACAACATCATGCATTAGGATGCAAAGGCTCCTCTTATCTTCCAAGCAGCATTGTATACTGGCAGAGATAGTGGGAACTGCCGATGCTGGAGAATCTGAGATAACAAGGTGTAGAGATGGATGAACACAGCAAGTCAAGCAGCATCAGAGGAGCAGGAAAGCTGACGTTTCGGGTCAGGTGTTATCTTGTTATCTTGTACACTGGCAGCCTCATTTGAAATCAATTTCCCACTTCTCTAGCAAATCTTCAAATACATGACCATGTTACTGGTGAAATACTGAAAGAATAGCTTAGATACAGTAATTTATTTTCTAGTGATCTATTTACTGGGTTAGTTCCAAATTGTTAAATTCAAAGCATACCCAAAATGAAAAGGCATCTTTTTAGGACCACAGTAAATGGCAGGTGGGCTCGGAGACGAGAGAGAAATTACCTGAAAGCCAGTATAACACAGGGCACTTCACACGCTCTGCTTTTGGAGGCAGATAAATTCCAAACCGCATCTTGCATTTTAACTCCAAGCTGTTAATCAAAACAAAATTAGAATTCTATTTTGAAAAGTTGGGAACCTTAAACTATCAAGGCAAATATTATAAAAATGGGGAACCTACTACTCTTGGTCAAGGTTTCTAATCTTAGGCACACTGTTTAGGTAAACACTGAATTTGAAAAAATACTTCAGCACTCAAAGAGAAAACAAGACAGACAGATATTTAGACTGTTTTCACAAAACTTGACTGAGTATTAGACTTAAGCAACATAAATTCTGAATCAGCCGTTCAAGAAAGTGCTCCACAAAAACCGAGGATAGTCTTTCAGCCACAAATTAACGTGTGGTGTGGACGGACGTTTAAAATTGATTTTTTAAAAATGCAAGTTTCAAGAAGGGGTATACATGGCATGTATCCATGGTATTATGTTTTAGTCACCTGGATTCTCTCCACTCAGTATCAATTTGCACACCACTTTACATCAACCATTACAGCTCATTTCATAGAAAGCTCTGTTGATTTCTATAAGAAATGCTGCAATTTTGGACCACTTCAGAGTCAAAAACAAAACAAACAGCAGTGATAATAATAATACCTCCAAAGGTATTGCAGGAAATCAAGGGACTAAAATGTGACAAATCTCCAGGACCTGATCAGTCCACACCTTTGAGTTGCAAAATTGATAGCTGCAGAAATAGTGGATATGTTAGCTATGTTTTTTTTCCAAAAATTCCCTAGATTCTGAAGTGGTCCAACAGTCTGCAAGTTAGAAAATTTAACACTTTTATTCAAGAGGGAGAGCGTGAACAGGAAACTGCAGTTCAAAAAGTGCTGGAATCCATCATTAAGAAAATCTTAATATTCTTAGAAATCATAGGATGATCACACAAAAATCAAAGTAGAATTATAGAATACCTACTGAGTAGAAGCAGGCCATTTGGCCCATGAGTTCACACCAACCCTCTGAACAGCATCCCACCCAATCCCTGTAACCCTGCATTTCCCATGGCTAATTCACCTAACCTGCACATTTTTGGATGGTTTTACAAAATGGAAATTAGGTTTGACAAATTTATAATGGAGAATATAATTAGTGGGATAAATAAAGGGGAAGTAGTGGACACAGTATATCTAAACTTCCAAAACACAGGTTACTAGACAAGGTGGGGAGAGGTGGCAATACATAAAGATGGATAAAGGATTGGTTAATGAACAGAAAGTGACTACCAAGCCTAAACCAGTTGGTAGCTGGAATTAGTGGAGTCTGCAAGGATTAGTGTTGGGCCCTAAGTTGTTTACAAACATTTCTTAATGATTTGAACAAACAGAAACAGTAATGTATCTAAGTACACAAAGCTAGGTTAAAATAAACGCTGTGAGGACGACACAAGAATGCTGCAAAGATACATAGGCAAGTGAGTGGGCAAGAAGAGGGCATTGCATTGGAAGTAATCCAGAAGAGGTTCACTAGATTGATTCCTGGGATGAAGGGAGGTCCCATGAGAAATAGTTGAGCAGATTGGGCCTACACTCAATGGAGTTTAGAAAATTAAGAGGCAACCTTATTGAAACAGATAAGATTCAGACAGAACTTGACAGGACTGATGCTGAGAGTATGTTTACCCTCAAAGGGTAAAGAGGGCAGAATTTCAAAACAAGAAGACTCTTATTTAAAGGTGGAGGAGAGGAAAATTTGTTTTCTCAGAGGCTCATCAATCTTTGAAATGCTTTACCCCAGTGGGTAGAAGAGTTGGGGTAACTGAATATATTTAAAGCTGAATAAGACAGATTTTTGATCTATTAGAAATTCAAGGTCTAACGGGGACAGGCATAAAAGTGTAGGAGAAGGCACAATCCGATTAGCCATGATCTTAGTGAATAGCAGAACAGGTTTGAGGGGCTTAATGGCCTATTCTCGCTCCCGTTTTTGTATTCTTATGACAGAAGAAATAATAACGTGTGGTTAATCTCTTTGGTCATACGAATAAAAAGCAGAATATGTTTTCAAAGTCACAAATCTTGGAAATGTTGATTCTCAGAGATTTGAATGTACTCATATAAGGAATACAAGTAGTTAGCATGTAGGTACAGCAAACAATTAGAAAGTAAAACACACATGGCATGTTGGCCTTTTTTTTTTGCAGGACACATGTTTCAAGCCAACTTGCTATGATTCTACAGGGCTTTGGAGTGTCGACATCTGGAATAGTGTGTGCAGTTTTGGTCTCCAGATTTAAGGAAGGATACACTTGCATTGCAGGCAGGGCAGTTAAGGATCACAAGATTGGTCCCTGGGATGACAGCATTATCGTACAATGAGAGTTTGAGTTAAATTAGGCCTACATTCTCTTAAGTTGAGTAGAATGAGAGATGATCTCATTCAAACATACACGGTTCCAAAGGAACACAGATTGTTTTCACTGACTGGGGCTGATTTGTTTAGAACTGAGAGGAGGAGAAATTTCTTCATTCAAAAGGATTGTGAAAACTCCATTAATGAATATCTGTAAGGCTAGAACAAAGAGATTCTTAGTCTGTCTGGGAAACAGGGGTATGAGGAGCAGGTAGGAAAATGCAATTGAAGCCTGAAAGCAGTCATGACTGTCTTTAACAGCAAAGCAAGTTGAGAGGACTGTATGCTCTACTCTTGCTCCTATCCAGTGTTCAATTATCTGTAAGGAAGGCTGAAACCTCAACTGAATTACAGTCTTGTTGTGGTCAAACAATTTGCAGACCAGCCAAATTTTGCTGAAATCATGTTAAACTTTCCTACTATAGTATTCTGAAAGTACTCTGTTATAATTTCTAAGGTCTTTTTTTTTTTTTAAAAACAGAATTTGAATCATTCTAAAAGGTTCTTATTTATACTGCTATCACATGCATCAATAGATGGGGGATACGATACTAGTTAGACGGCAGAGAGCACACTGGATTTGTGGTGAAATTGAAATAATCTCTCCACTGCATCTATGTCATAACCATTCCTCTCTGAACCGGTAAACAAATAATGAGGACATTATCCTGCAGTTCACTGTGAAAGATTAAAATGAAGACAATATTTTCCTGGAAATGATTAAAATGACATATTAACAATATTCTGTGCTCAGTGTGTTGGAGTCTGTAGACTGGTTACAAAGGTATGTAATAGAAATACTATTTTAATCTTGTGGAAAACATCAGGTCCAAGAAAAACAACTCTTCCAGAGAGTTGTACTGTCAAAGTCCAATTTTAATTTGTCAATTAGAACTTCAGGACAGGAACAATGCAGCTTGCCTGTAGAAAAGAACAGGATAGTGGAAAAGGAGGAAAGATTCTGAAGTCTAGATACGATGCTGCTGATTTTAAGTTATTCTATGTTCAGATTTATTATATAATTGAAGAATTGATGGGTACCACTGATGGGTTCCTCCACACTGGATGTTTCATGAAAATGAAGAAGGCCACAATTCAATTTTGAACTTACTTAGTTTGTCAAATTCTAGCTTCTATAGACAAGGGTGGCCTGAATGTTTGGTGCAGAAATGAACAGTGAAGCCATTTTAGTGGCTGGACATATCAAATTCTGTATTATTGTATAAATGTCACTGTACAACACATTTTTAATACTCTCTAATTGACATTCTTTACTAGTCTGCACTTAGTTGCAGAGATCATAGAATCCCTACAGCATTGAAACAAGCCATTTGGCCCAACAAGTCCACACCAACTCTCCGAAGGGCATCCCACCCAGACTGACCCCTCTACCCTGTAACCCTGCATTTCCCATGGCTAATCCATCTAACCTACAGATCCCTGGACATTATGGGCAATTTAGCATGGCCAATCCACTTAACCTGCACATCTTAGGACTATGATAGTTTTCTAAATTCTGGTTGTTCGTAACACTAAAGGAGATGAACAATATTTCTGAGAGTTTAAACTGGACTGAAAAAATTAAGGATGGGCTCCAGCAAAGTGACTGCTCCAAACTAAGATTACATCTACTGCAACAGCATTCTGCCATCTGGGTGTGGCATGGAGTAGAGGTCTAATTTCTTCAAAAACCTTCTAAAATGTCTCAGGGTTCACCCATACAAAACTAAACCCATGCAGAGAATCAAGTGTACAGCATGTGGAGTTGGATCCACACATAGTAATTGGGACACGGAGGCTCCGAACTGATCTGACTATGTGATTTTGGTCCCATTGGTCAGGACGGAGAACTTCCTGCAAGTAAAACACTATTATGGAGTCACCCATATAAAACTAGTAACTGAATGCTGAATATGAAATGAGTTTTTATATCCTGCTAATGTTCCTTCTTCTCTTTTCCCAAGAGCATCGGTGGCTAAGATACATTTTATGGGCATTACTTACTAGTCTGATATCTCAACATTCACAGGAGTTTTGCCCCAAGTGGCAGCACATCTCACAACAGGTAGGTTGTAGCCAAAGCCAATCATGACCTTGTCAAGTGTTAATGAGGTCTAATCAGTAAGGTTTATGATCACATTAAATAAATCTCTTTTTGTTAAACTCCTTCCACATCCTAGAAGGCACTAAAATAAATGCTGAACCTGGCTCCCCTCCCACACTTCTACTGACTCTGATCAGCCATCTCAGAGAACTGAATGTGGGACCTGTACAGTTTGTGTGGCTTGACTGTTTGCAACATAAATTGAAAAGCCATCAAGGGAACTGTAGTATCTTTTTGAAGTGCATTCTTCCCTCTTGGGATATAATTATGCAATACTGAAGTATATTCAGAATTTTAACTCCAAATTAATCATTGAGAATATTTAAAATCTATTCTAAGATATTGTTATTAGGCTAAGAAGTATATCTTACATTACTTTAGTGTTTTCAAAATACACAAGTGATTAGAACTTGTTAAATTGGAAGTACAATTACAAAATTCCTGAATGACACCAAATTGGGAAGTATATATCATGGAATTCCTATAGTGCAGGCAGAGGCCTTTTGGCCATCCAGTCTGCATTGATCCTCCGATGAGCATCGCACCCAAACCCATACTCCATTCCAAAACCCTGCATTTCCCATGGCTAATTAACCTAGTCCATACATCTCTGGACACTACAGAGTAATTTAGCCTGGCCACTCCATCTAACCTGCACATCTTTTGACTGTAGAAGGAAACCAGAGCACTTGGAAGAAACCCACACAGCCATGGGAGAATATGCAATCTCCACAGAGACAGTTGCTGCAGCTGGAACTGAACCTGGTCCTCTGGCACTGTGAGGCAGCAGTGCTAACCAGTGCATTTGCTAACCATACTTTACTACATTTAGTAGTTGATACCAAAGACAAGGACAAAAAACAAGCTTGGAGAAGGGATGTGTGGATAACAAAATTAATTTTAATACAGATAATTCTGAAGTAGTGCATTTATGTGAGAAAGACTTATTGTAAAACAGAAATTTAAATCAGGTAGAAGATCCAAGAGACCTAAAGGAATACAAATCACTTGAAGTAACAAGTTACTGAGATAGTTTAAAAAAATGCAAACAAAATCTGGGTTCATTTCTAGAGGAATAAGACTGGAAAGCAGACAAGTTTTGTGACTCTTGTACTAACCTTAGTTAGATCACAGTCCCAGTGTTGTGCACAATTCTGTTCTCTACATGACAGAAAGTAATAGAGGCACTGGCAAACGTGTAAAATGTTTCACAGGGTGATACCAGAACTGAAAGGTTTATAACTAACAGGGAGAGCTAGGATTCTTTTTCCTACATAAAGAGAAGCCCAAGAGGGTGACCTAACAGTGTCTATTAAAAGCATTCAGGGGTTTGAAGTGGTATGTGTAAAAAATGTTTGTATGTGTGGGGAGCCCAGAACTAGGGGCACCAATACCAGACAGTCACTAATAAATCCAATAAAAATTCAGAAGAAACCTCTTAACCCAGAACGTGATTTGAATGTGGAACTTGCAACCTCATGGCATAATTGAGGCAAATATCATTGCAGCATTTAAATGGAAGTTGGATTAGTACAAAGAGATAATTACAGCATTTGGCAGTAGGTTTAGATGAAACAGGATACAATTGACTTGTACAGAGCATAAATACCTGTCACATGGTGCAGTATTCAACCACAGGCCAGTTAGGTTAGCATGCCTGCTTCTGTGCTGTTAAATTCTATGGGATTCTGTATTAAAGTTACGATATTTCCACTGTTTATCCTAACCAGCATTGAGATTAAAAAAAGTTTTCCACCTTAAATCACAGAAAGGAATTCCAGCAACAAAATACTTAATTGGAAAAGAAAGTTAGTTGCTGAGGCTGATTATACTAACTCACCTGTCATGTTCATACACCTTCTGATATCCTTCAAAACACTTGGCGCTTGAGATTTGAGTCAGGGCCATTTTTGTCACTAATGAAAGTTTTATTTTGAAAAAAAAAGAAATATGATCATATATTCGTATGATATAAATGCAGCTTACACAATGACAGTGTGGGAAGACTCAACAGGTATTATTTTCAGACCTGGATTAGGAGGGCTTTGAGATTACAATGTCGGCTAATACTTGGATGCTGTACTGAGGGAGGTGCTGACTGTGATCTCAAATGGTAAACTGATGTTCAATGTGTGTGTACTAATGATTCGGATGGATGTTATGAATCTCAGGGCAATATTTGATGGCAATTCGCGATAGGACAAAACAAAAGCCTTTCATAGCCTCAGTAAGTGCCTAAGCACTTCTGAAGTGTTGTAATTGCTGTAATTTCGGATTATTAATTAATACCAGTAGAACTCAGTTATTGGTTAATCCTCACTGTTTGTGTACTTCCTTAAAACAAAGGGATTTAGGGGTTTGGGTACATAATTCTTTGAAGTTTGCATCACAGGTAGACAGGGTGGTTAAATAGGTATTCAGCATGCTTGCCTTCATTGCTCAGTCCTCCGAGTAAAGGAGTTGGGATGTTATGTTGACATTGTACAGGACATTGGTGGGGCCTTTTCTGGAGTACTGTGTTCAGTCGGGTTGCTCAGTTATTGAAAGGATGTAATTAAACTAGAGGGGGTTCAGAAGAGACTTACCAGGGTGTTGCCAGGTATGAAAGGTCTGAGTTATAAAGAAAGGGTGGATAGGCTGGGATTTCTTTCACTGGAGTGTAGGAGGTTGAGGGGTGACCTTATGGAGGTTTATAGATACAGTTAATGGTGGGTGTCTCTTCCCTAGGATTTCAAGACTGGGGACATATTTTTAAAGGTGAGAGGACAGAGATCTTAAAAAAGCCATAAGGGGCAAATTTTCATTAGAGGGTAGTTTGCGTGTGGAATGAACCTCCTGAGGAAGTAGTGGATGTGGGCATAGTTACAATGTTTAAATGACACTTAGATAATGCACGAATAGGAAAGGTTTGGAGGGATATGACCCCAGAGCAGGCAGGTAGGATTAGGTTAGTTTGGGATTATGTTCAGCATGGACTGGTTGGAGCGAAGAGTCTGTTTCTGTGCTATATGACTGTAACTCTAACCTGAAACAGTGTTCAGACTGGAGGATAAATGCTTGTCATTTTCCACAGTTCTAGAAAAAAAGTCGCTATTTGGACTTGGGCACTAGAACAGAATCACAAATATGTGCTGATGACACAGATGTAGGAGGTTCGGCAAATAATGAGGGGCACAGAGGAGTTTCCCAGGTAACATCGTGGTGATGGAGCAGTTTAGCAATGGAGACAATCTGGATAAGAACAGATTGTTTTCTTTAAAGCAGAGAAGGTGGACAGGGCACATGATAGATGTATATAAGATTATGAGAGGCAGGAACAGGGTGGATAGAAAGCAGCCATTCCCTTAGGCAAAGGGTCTATAACAAGAGGACGTAATTTTAAGGTGATAGGCAGTTTAGGGGCAATTTGAAGAAATTCTCTCTCACCCAGAGGATGGTGGGAAACTAGAATGCACTGGCTGGAAGTGTAGTTGAGGCAGGAAATCTCAAAACTTTTAAAAAGTACTCAGATGAGCACTCGAAATGTCATAACATTCAAGGCTATGAGTCTCGTACGAGAAGGTGGGACTAGTCTCAATTTTGAGTACTTGTTTGCTCTTGGGCCAAAGGGCCTCTCCTATATAGTATGAGAGTTTGACTCTAAATCAAATCCACGTTTCTTTTTCAAACAGAAGTCCACACAATCCTGTGCCTTTCCAGTGTGTATACATTAGTTCATACATTCGATTATCAATTTATTTGAAAAGAGCTGTGAACACATACCCAGAACTCGAAACCACTCTCACTGCATTGAGTGAGCTTGCTGTGTGCAGATTAGCTACCACCTTTCAACACTGAAACACTCAGCACACTTCAAAAAGTGCTTCACTGATTGGTTTTTGTTTGATAGGCCCTGGTTGTAAAATGTGCAATGTAAACACTAACATTTCTGATTCATCTCTCTTTCTCTCTCTCTCTCTGTTACCTTACCCCCTTGACTCAGGCCTAAGCCTCAGAGTCTCAGTCACTGAATCCTGAAGCAGTTCCCGTTGCATTTTCAAGCGGCGGCAGAGGCTCTCGATCCGGCCCGGGCCTTCCCCGCGCGACCCCCACCCCTTTCCCCCGCGCGACCCCCACCGCGTGATCTCTCCCTTCCCTCGCGTGCTGCCGTGCCTGTCACTTGCCTCTGACCGCGCTAACGGCTCGGGCTCGAGCAGCGGAGACGGCGACTCTCTTCCCTAGAGCCAGGAACATAAAATGCAGGCACTAAGCTCTGGGGGAGCGGAGAGGTGATATGTCGTGTCCGGGGGGAAGGAGTTGGTGGTAACTCCGCCTGGACAGGAACGAGGTGTAGGGGTGAGTTAGGGTTAAAGTTGTTTGTTTATTGGTGTAGCTTGTGCACTTTAATCATCGTCTCTAATCTCACCATGTCAAAGCTAAGTTATTCAGTTTGGTGATAACTGTGTTATTAACTAGAAACCGTGTTTTTCAAACAAATATTTCAAATTTCAGAAGCACAAATCATTGGGCCTAAGGGTCAGTAAACACATTAATAGACTGACCCGAAACATCGGCAACAAGCCCCAAACTCAGCAGTATCCTTCATTAAAAATATACCAATCACGATGATGACTCCCTCTTAACTCTCAATAAAAAACCTAAAATGAAAACTACGGCAGTTACAAATTATTTGACTACGTTACGTTTAAAGAAAAGACCAGCTGCGTTAATCCAGGTTTTTTTTAATAAATCAGGATCATTTGATAGACCTCTGTGCATTTATAGAAAAGCGATAGTTCGCTAGACATGATATCTGTAATATATTCACTTTTAAGTTAATTTCTGGTCTGTATATTGTTGCGGAAAAGAGCAATATAATTGAAAGAGATTTTGCATCTCTCGTGTGTCCAAGGATGCAAAAAGTTATATCCCAGAAAGAAAAGGCTGTAAACTTGCAAATCGACACTGATCTGACTTGTATAAGTCAAATCCTTGTTCTCTAGGAGGAATAGGAACAGACTTCCAGCAGAATACAAAAAATCATGGACATTTCACCTGTGTAACTCTACTATGTACTGCAAAGGACCATATAATCTGACTGAATGGATCAATGAGAAAAAGACAATGTTATATTTTATCCACCTTGCTGATACTTGGGTTCTGAATCTGCAGATAACAAGGAGTGAGAGTAGTTCAAAATGGAGCTCCAGTATCAATAATATGTTCATTTTCAAATAATACTTTTTTGTTTATATGGGTTTTAGTCTGAGATAGGACAGGACATGCCTTTTGCTTCAATGCACAACTGACCAGAAACTAAAAGGAAAAAACACTGACAATTTAATGTATGCAATTTTCTATTCTCACAAGTGCATTCAAATCTGTATCATCTGGGATAGAAAATGGAAAGCAGTAGTGAATGAGTGTTTTCTGTGGAGAGAAGTGAGAGAGAATTTGTGAGCATTCACCAGGAGTCAGCGCACTGGTCCAATTCAAAACGGAGAATGATCAGTGTGTTCATTTACAATTATTTTTATAAATTGTTTTCTGAGTGATTTAAGAAGGCATTTAAGAGTGAAGCACATTGCTTTAGACCAGAAGTTGAATTTAGGGTGGATAGGTAAGGACAAAAAACTGCTTCCTTGAAGGACATTAGAAATATACTCTCATTGTACTTTTGAGAAGGTTGTCACATTTTCAAGTTTGTCTGTTGGAGCAGAAATATTGCAGTATCTATTGTTAGCTTTATATTAATCTAGCAACGAGCTATAATTTCAAGAAAATAAGTGAAAACATATGTCTACATATATACTTAATTTGAGAAAAATAACCAGTTAATTAGAACACAACAAAGCTAGTACAGGTAAAGCATGGCCTGCACAACATGGGAAGTATTAGGTGGTCCTAGAAGTCTGGATGATCACATCTACAGGTACTGCCATCAGTTTCATCTGCTTAAGTATTGGGTTTCCGAGCTTGAGCACTGGCTGGAGGCAGTACAGTGAATCTGTGAGGCTGAGACTTACTTGGAGAGCACATTTTTAGATGTGGTCACTTCATAGTTTAAAGAAGTGCAGTCAGAGGAGGCTTGGGTGACTACCAGTCAGAAGAAGAAAAACAGGCAGGTAAGCCCCAGTCAGCATCTTACTTGAGAACTTTTTTTTTGTGTTGGAAAATAGTAGGAGTGACAGTTCCTCTAGTCAGTGCAGCCAGAGCCCAGCTGCCCAAGGGTGGAGGTGAAGCGAGGAAGAACAATACTGGTAGGCGACTCAACATGAGAGGTACAGGCGTTTCTGCAGCCAAAGACGTGACCCTATCATGGTTTGTATTCTGCAGTGGGAGGAATAATCCAGTTCGGATGGTCGAGGTATCTTTTACTGGGCTCCTTTGTTCTAGCTTTTGTAGGGAAGCCAAAGGTCATAGCAACATCTCTTATCTCACTCCCAGAACAACAATTACGCTATGATAAATTATACTGTCCACGTTAACCATCAATCATATAAGAGGTTACATAAACATTTTTACAGTATGAATGATACAATATCCTCTTTTATCTGAGTCTGTCTGCTCCAGTTCTTGGCTGCTTGCAAAGTCTGTTGGCCAAAGTTCAACCACTCCTTTAGCTCACCTGGACATAATTGTGCTATATTAAGCCTTTCAGTGTGTTTCCTCCTTGGAGTCAGGATCGAGGATGTCACTGAACGGCTGCCAGGCATTTTGAAGGGGAAGGGGAAGCTGTCAGAGATCATGGTTCACATAGGTACCAGTGACATAGGGAGAAAAAAGGATGAGGTCCTGAAACAAGGATTTAGGGAGTTGGGTAGCAGATTGTAAAGCAGGACCTCAAAGGTTGTACTTAAAACAATATAACAGGAACGGAACCTTCGGCCCACCATGTCTGTACTGGCCATGATGCCATTCTAAACTAATCCCATCTGCCTTCATGTGGTCTACACCCCAATATTCTCTGCCTGTTCATGTGTGTCTAAATGTTTCTTAAATTTTGCTATCATAGCTGCTTTCACCACCTTCCTTGGCAGCATATTCCAGGCATCTACCACCCTCTATTTATAATGTCTTGCCTTGCACACCTCCTTTAAACTTTCCCCCTCTCACCTTAAACCAATGCCCCCTAGTATTTGAAATTTCCACCCTGGGAAGAAAAAGACTCTGACTATCCATCCAATCCATGCCTGTCATAATTGTATGTACTTTTATCAGGTTCGCCCGCTCAGTCTCCGATGCTTTAGCAAAAACAATCCAAGCTTATCCAATCTCTCCTTACAGCTAATACACTCCAACCCAGGCAACATCCTGCTAAACCTCCACATCCTCTTCAAGGTTTACATACCCTTCCTATATTGTGGTGACCAGAACTGCATACAATACTCCAAATACTCCACTAAAATCTTGTACAGCTGCAATATGATTTGTTGACTTTTGTACTCAATGTCCCGACTGATGAAGACAAGCATACCATATGCCTTCTTTACCACCTTATCCACTTGTGTTGCCACTTCCAGGCAGCTATGGACTTGCAACCTCTGGATTGTTGTTGGTGCCATGTGCTACTAAATATAGGAATAGGCTAAGTGAGCAGATGAATGTCTGGTTGGCGCAGCAGGAAGAGCTTTAGTTTCCTGGATCACTGGGTCCATTTCTGGGTAAGGTAGGACCTATACAAACCTAGTGGGTTGCACCTGACCCACAATGGGATCAACATCCTTGCAGATGAGTTTGCTAGTGCTGTTGATGAGGACTTAAAATCATTTGGCAGGGGGTGGGATACAGAGTGAAGGTACAATAACAAGTGATGCATAGGCAAATATAGAAGGAAAACTAAGTCCATTTGAAAGGAATGCCAGTATAGTCACGTTAAGGTAAAAGAGAGCATGACAGGCAAGATGGCATTTATTTTGGTGTGAGGAATCTTGTGTGAGGGTGCTGATTGACACTACAAAGATACAAAGAATGGTACAGCACAGAACAGGCCCTTCGGCCAACCAAGACTGCACTGACACATGATGGGCTTTCTAAACTAAAAACCTTTTGTCTGTACATGGTCCATATCCCTCTATTCCCTGCCTATTCATGTATCAGTCAAAATGCCTCTTAAACGTATCCACTACCACCACCTGTAGCAGCACATTTCAGGCACTTATCACCCTCTGTGTAAAAGACTTGTCTCTCACATCTCCTTTAAACTTTACCTTAAACCTATATCCCCTAGTAATTGACATTTCTATCCTGGGAAAATGACTCCTTTCTATCCATTCTATCCATTCCTCTCATCATTTTGTAAACATGTATCAGGTCACCTCTCATCCTTTGATGTTCAAGTGAAAACAAGTTTGTCCAATCTTTCCTCATAGCTAATGACTATCACATAGCTATCACATGGAGATGAGCTGTTATTGCTAACTTGGAGAATTGGTTAAGGGAGGGGCATGACTGCCAACTTGATAATCTGGGATTTTAAATCTTCAATCAAGACAATGGAGAGGGAGGGGCATAAAAGAAGAGGTGGCATCGCAATGTTGATCGATGATTCAATTACTGCAATGAGGACGCATGATTAAAACAAAAAGGGGGCAATCCCATTACTGGGAGGGTGTGATAAACTGTCAAACAGCTAGGCAGATAAAAGGACTGATATGTCGGCAAATCTCAGAGAAATACAAAAATAATTGGGTAACCAGTGGTGTGCTGCAAGGATCAGTGCTGGGTCCACTGCTTTTTGTATTTATATGAACGATTTGGATGAGAATATAGGAGGTATGGTTAGTAAGTTTGCAGATGACACCAAAATAAGTGGTGTAGCGGACAATAAAGAAGATAATCTCAGAGTACGACTTGACCTTGATCAGATGGGCCAATGGACTGAGGAATGGCAGATGGAGTTTAATTTAGATAAATGTGAGGTGTTGCATTTTGGTAAGGTAAACCAGGACAAGTTAATGGTAGAGCTGTAAGAAGTGTTGCTGAATAAAGAGATATTGGGCTGCAGGTTCATAGTTCTTTGAAAATGGAGTCATAGGTAGACATGGTGATGAAGAAGAAGTTTGGCATGCTTGCCTTCATTGGTCGTAACATTGAGCATAGGAGTTGGGATGTCACATTGCGGCTGTTCAGGATATTGGACAGGCCACTTTTAGAATATTGCATACAATTCTCATCACCCTTCTTTAGGAAGAATGTTGTTAAACTTGAGAGAGTGCAGAAAAGATTTACAAGGATGTTGCTGGGCCTGGAGGGTTTGAGTTATAGGGAAAGGTTGAATAGGCTGGGGCTTTTTTCCTGAGAGTCAGAGGCTGAGGGGTATCTTACAGAGGTTTATAAAATAACGAA